TTGTTCATTCCATAACATTATAACTATATACCGCACAAACAACAAAATATATGATTTAAAAGTTTAATGCATCTTATAAGTTTTTCAATAAGAAATTGTTCATTTTCTTTAAGTATTTGGTATATTTTTGAGTCTCAAAACATGTTAATACAAAAGATGAGTTGAGTCAACCATAAATACAATAAAAGTAAAATATATTGTGTTTTTATCGTCACATGAGTCTTTCAGGATCAAGGTGGCCATCAAGTTTGGATATGTCCTGCATGTGGTAATCAGGATGATGGATCACCCATGGTGGGTTGCGATGATTGCGACGCGTGGTATCACTGGTTTGTAATAAAAGTACACATATTCTTTTATTTTACACACGTTGATATTAAAAACCTAAAAGTGGTTAGAATTTAAATTTTACACATTTTTCAGAATTTTTCTTATTTCCTAAGAAAACCATGCAAATTGGCAATGCAAACATATACAGTAAATTACTTAATTGTCTGAATAATCTTACATTACCAATCTTAGGATCTGTAGTAAAAATAAAAATATTTTAATCATTTAAGTCATTTAGTTAACTAGAATATAACTAGTCATAATCTCACTTTCACTATATTTGCATGATGTTACTAAAATCTTCAACTATCTTTCTTTTTATTACTATTTGTGTTATTTTATCTTTTGTTCTTCTAGCTAGTTTAATTTTTGTTTTCTAAATTTCTATACTGTTAGTACTTTGTCATTTACTTTCCATTACAAAACAGCAAGGTAAGAGATTCTGGCCTTTATCATATTTACGTTTCTCATTTATGATAAACTTTAAAGTAAAATATAATATATTAAATTGAAAAACAGTTTTTGTCTTATAATTTTATTGTTTTATAGGTATATTTTATACTTAATTTATATATTTTTAATCATTTAGGGTATGTGTTGGTATGCAAGTACCACCAGCTGACAACGAGGATTGGTATTGCCGCCTTTGTATAGCGAAGAAACAAGAACTTCATCATGATAAAAAGAAGAAAAAAAGGAAGAAAAAAGTCAAAGTTGCTGCCTAGTACAAGCTACCCGGGTCTTGTGTAAGATCCGGCATAACAATTCAAACTGCTACCAAAGTTAAAAAAGACAGCAAGCTCAGTGTGAAGAGTATAAAAAACAAGAAATTGTCAAAAACTGAAATGAAGTTACAAATGAAATCGTTAAAAGAAAAATCTGTACCCACCAAGGGAAAGGCTGGAAAGACTATGATGAAGGTTAAGACTGTAAAGAAGAAAAGTAAAAAAATGAAAGATAGTGCAATTCAATTGACTTAAAAAATGTTATTTTTAGTGATCTTTAACACAAATTTATAATTTAATTTTAACACGTTGATAGCTGATAAAAGAGCACAAAGTTATTGAATACTAAATTTTAAGTTCTGAATATTAATCTTCTACAATTATTGTCTCCTTATAATAAGAAAAAAATATGCCATATTCATATTATATTGGTATGACTGTAACACAACTATAGTTTTTTTTCAAATATAAAGTAATATAAATCATAAAATAATAATTCAATTTTAAAATGAATTTTAACTTGTAGTAAAAAGCCTAAGAATCTAATAGCAATAATATTATATATTGATACTTTTTCACTCAATTTACATACTTCTGAATTTATCTATTGAAGTCTATTTAAGGTAATTAATGATTACTGTTTGGAAGTAGGTATAAAATATTTAATTCATATGTTATTTCTGTAACTTATAACTAAAAAATTGTTCAGTTCTTTGTAAAGCATTTTATTTATATTGGAGAAAGATAAAAACTAAATATTTGAACATGCGTGTAATAAAATATTTATCCTTATTATAATTCATTTGCGTATTTATACTGAATTAAATCAGTATGTTAATAAGTAATTGTTACTAAAAATATCTTATCTTATAGATAACTTTGATTACATGTTATTTAAAATTAAGTACAGTTTGTTTTTATTTGGATTCATTTTTGTGTAGAATATGTTTTTTGTATAGAATATGTTAATTAAAGTATATTATATGATTATAATGTTTAACACGTTCGCTGCTATCAGAAAATCGATAGCACGCTGGGCAATCGATTCTGGACCACATATGCTGCGTCGGTGATAGCGAACGTGTTAATGTTCTATTACAGATTTCTATGAAATTCTGCATATTTTACTGCCAGTATGTAACATTGAGTGTTATGTATTTTAGAAAATCTAACATATATTATATATTTCTTTACAATTATTAAAAATGTAAATCCAACGCAACGAACATCTTACTTATATGGAAATGACGTTAAAAATTCGGTCATAAATAGCATTGTTCATGTGTAGCAGTCAACGTGTTAAAACTAATCTTGTAAAATTGAAAATTATATATTAAGAAAATTCTATTTTCTTTTATTAAAGCAGAGACTTCTGCGTAATAATACATTGTGTACATTTTTTCACCTATATTTAGTATATTCAAATAGTCCCATAATTGTGGACCACTACGATTATAATTATAAAAAGTTGACTGATTGCTTTGCACTTATAATATTAACCCTTACAACTATAAGTATTTTTCTAATATGTTTTTGAATTTGTAAATAAGAATGGTGTTTCTCATGTTTATTTTCAAATAATTATGAAACTTATAATGCATGATGTACAGTATAAAATATATTTTTCATAAAAACAAATAGCGTGTTGTTTACCACATTGATACCCATGTGGATAGATGTACCCATTTTATAGATTGATAGCAAACAGCTAAATGACTAAATCGATCTATTCAATTGACAATAAATATTAATACATAAATATATGTTATACATATATCTTTAATTATTATTAGTTACTTATGACATAATTATTTAGATTACAATTCAATTATTATAGATAAAAATGGTATTGCAAAAATGTATAGTGATGTATTTATACATAATTGTGTAAACAAATACACTGTCACGAATATAATGAAGTGGTTGGGTCTCAATGTGATAAGTGCTAAACTTTAGTCAAGAAAAACAATAAGATTTAAGCATTGTATTTATAATCTATTGTTTTCAATATAAATGACTAAATTGAATTCCATTTTATTTCTATATAACTTTTCTTTATTTAAGTATTAAATGATTTTGTTAATGTTAATTTGTGAATAATAGAAAAATTTAACAGTTGTTAGGGTTAATTTTAATATATTGTCCAAAAATATAAAAAGTAATATATTAAACATTGTTATGCATAATTCAGATAATATATTATTTCTTTTGTTATTAGATGAATCATTATAACTATGATAGAAATGGGCT